ATATATATATATATATATATATATATATATATATATATATATATATATATATATATACATACATATTTCTTTGTGTGTGTGTACAGGAACAATAGCGAAGCGTTTTGCCTCTATTGGTGTAGAGAACACCGAGAGTAACCGAGCCTTCTATAGAGGTTTATTATTTAGTACGAAGGGTTTAGGTGAGTATTGTAGTGGGGCTATATTATATGAAGAAACTTTATATCAGCAAAGCCCCGAGGGTATATCTATGGTTGAACTCTTAAAAAAAGAAAATATAATACCCGGAATAAAGGTAGATAAGGGCCTAGAGGAGATACCAGCAACAGACGGAGAACAAGCAACCATGGGCCTCGACGGCCTCGGTGATAGATGCAAAAAATATTATGAGGCTGGTGCTCGCTTCGCTAAGTGGCGAGCTGTATTATGTATAGATGAAACAAAAGGAAAACCATCTATACAATCTATACAGGAGGTTGCATACGGGCTAGCTAGATATGCTTCTATATGTCAACGTAATAAACTAGTACCTATAGTAGAACCAGAGATACTAACAGATGGCTCACACGATATAACATATTGTGCAGCAGTAACAGAGCGAGTACTTTCACATGTATTCAGAGAACTGCAGCAACAAAAAGTTTTATTAGAGGGGGCCCTATTAAAACCTAATATGGTGACCCCGGGGGCCCAGGGGCCCCGTGCAACACCACAAGAGATAGCTCTATACACTGTACGTACACTGGCGCGTACTGTACCACCAGCTCTCCCCGGCATTATGTTTTTATCGGGGGGTCAGTCAGAGGAAGAAGCATCACTAAACCTAGACGCAATGAACCGTATGGGGGCCCACCCATGGCGTCTATCTTTCTCTTATGGTAGGGCCCTACAGGCCTCTTGTTTAAAGAAGTGGAGCGGTAAGCCAGAGAACAAAGCAGCAGCACAAGAGACGTTGCTGCAGCGAGCGAAAGCTAACAGCCACGCACAGCTAGGAAAATATGAGGGGGGAGCTGGTGGGGCTGAGGCCGCAGCTTCTCTATATGAAAAAAAATATATCTATTAAACTTTTTAATCACTCGTTGTTCGTGGGGGGCGGGGAACACCCTCTTTGCACCGGCAGTGACCCTGGCTAGCTGGATGGCTAGCTAGCTAGCTAGATGGCTAGCTAGCTAGCTAGCTAGCTAGCTAGCGATGGGGTTGCAGGGGTGTTGTTTTGGTGGGGGGGAGTTGAGGTTTTGTTTAAATTAAGAAACTTCTTTTGGTGTTTTTGTTTGTTTCAGTTTATAAATTATATTATCAATGCGTTTTTTATTTGTTATAAAGAAGGGGGGGTTAGGGTTTAGTATTGAGGGTTTAGGGTTTAGATAAGAGGGTTTAGGGTTTAGATAGGAGGGTTTAGGGTTTAGAGGGGAAATGCAGAGAGATTAGGGAACAGAGAAGAGGGAGAAAGACAGCAACAAGGTATAGAGAGAAACAAAAAAATAGGTATATATATATGTATATATATATATATATATATATATATATATATATATATATATGATATATAATATAAGTACTATACAAGTAGATGCTATAGAAACGGAGACAGAAACAAATAAATAGAGAAAGAGAGAAAAGGAGATATAGTTAATACTAAAGACAGAGAAAGAAACAAATAAAAAACAGAGACAAAGAAACAAATAAAAAACAGAGACAGAAGCAGAGATATTATAAAAAGGAACAGAAACAAAAAAAAAATACACAGAGACAGAAACAAATAACAAGGACAGAAAAAATAACAAAAACAAAAAAATAAATAAACAAATAGAGACAGATACAAGGAATAAGAGACAAACAAAAAAACAATAAAGAAGAGAGACA